GCCTCCCATGCATGCAGCGGCGACGGGAGGGGCGGAGGATGGCGGCGGCAGCTGGCTAGGGTTAGGGTTCCATTTATTCTTTTTGGAATTCTTTTTGTGATTTTTCATTTTCTGTGCGGACGACTTAGGCGCCCGCAGGCGAAAATCGAAATTTTGCATGTGGATGCGCCACCGGCATGGAAAAATCGCTATTTTCGCAGACCTTTTCAGGCAGACGGTTGGTCAGACCGCACAGAAAAATCAGTTTTGACCATATGTAAAAATGTTTTTTTATTAGTGTGCTGGATTCTTTTCGCTCCAAGCATCCAACAATCGTCCTCCGCTCATAGCATCGGATCGGGACAGTGAGACAGAAGAAAGTGTGCATATTTTTGGTCATGTGCCCTGAACTAAGCTAAATCGTCGCATTGCGAGTGTCGATCACATGCGGACATGGTTGCCATGCCGCCATTGCCTGGAGGCTACAATAGTATAGACGAGGAGCCCGAAGTCACTAAAGAGAAGCGCAACACCACCCAGGAACCATGACCCGATGACAATGGCTAGGGGCCAGTAGTGGATTTGGCTGGCGACAACGGATAGGAGCAAGTGGTGAGAAGAAGCGAGGGAGAGAGAAAAAGAGAGAGCTAGAGGATAAGTGACATCATACTATTCTTTTAATTTGCTGAGATAAAAATCTTATGCTCTTCAATTTAAATATTTATCGAGATAAAAAACATCGAATGCGAAAAGAATATAAAGTTTCATAAAATAAAAATATGATACAAGATAATTAATGACCCTAACCTATAAAGAGAGAGAGTGTGTGTAGCACCCCTTACAAAGTTGTGTTGTTGTTCCAATTTACACCCATTAGGCTCTGTCGCGCAAATTCCCGTCTGTCGCCTTATGTGCAAAGGCAACCGCATCTTTTGTGCATCCATTACTCCCATGCTACAATCATCGGGCCCACATGTCAGAAGCATCATTCCCATGCCGCACATGCAGAGCAGACTAATTGTCTAAGAACAAATATGCCTTTGTGATCACATAACACATCATTGATGCTTATGATCAGGCTTAGTTGCTTCGATAAATTGTTGAGATGTGTGCATAACACTTTAACACTTTTGTTGTGACATTAAATACATATTTGTTGATAATAAGGTAGTATGTAATTAGCAAAATGATTTATCTCTGCTCTATTATATATTGGATTTCTTAGGAGGAGATAAATATTTATCTCTATTTCGGTATAGATTGACCCACAAAAAAAATATTTATCTTCTCAGGAGATAAACCTCCATAACACAAAATCCAGTTGGAACATTACTATGCTTCACCGAATCTGATCTAAAAAAAGGGGATACATTCACATCTATCCAGCTGGCAATGGGCAATCTGCCATCCCTCAACTTTACACAGAGTTTGTTTGATATCCCTTATCCTCAATACCAGAAATCTTCACCCCTAAACTATATAAAACCGTGCAATTTAGGTCCCAAAGCAGTATAGATCTCTGGTTTCGCTGACGTAGCATCCTAGTCAGCAAAATATAAATAAAAATAATATGTGAGTCCCACATGTAAGTAAAGCGAGAGGAAAATTTCAGAGGCCCACATTCTTTTCCTCTGTTTTTGGGTGCTCATTCGATTTCGCTAGTTCTCATTTGTGGATGCTGATGGTGTTTGTTGTTTGTGGATGCAGGAGCAGCGGTGTCGGCGGCAGGTCGGGGTGGTTCCGGAGATCCGTACGTCGGCGTCGGACCTAGCCCAGTTCCTCCGCGCGCATCGCATCAGCCACGTGTGCCTCCGTGCCATCATTGGCGTCCCCAACTACAAGCTCCTCGCCCTGGGCTCCTCCCTGGCAACCGCCTCCGCCTGGGTCGCCCGCCACGTCTTACCCTATGCCGGCGCCAACTCCAGCACCCCGGCCCATCACCGCCATCGCCGTCGGCGACGAGGTCCCCACCGCTCTCCCCTCCGCGCTCCCCATGCTCCTCCTGGGCTCCTGGCCATGCAGTCCTACTCCATGATGCAGAGCAATGGCGTGATCCCACTTGACAATGCGCTGTTCAAGACGCTCCCTCCGTCGTTGGAGATGGTTGACTTGCACACGCTGGCGCTACTCCACTACACCAACATGTTTGACGTGGTGCACGTCGCCGTGAAGAACCTCTACGTGAGCGGTGACCGCATCCCGATGCCGGTGCTGGTGATGGAAGTGAGGTGAGCCTCTCGGTGGAGCCTTCGCCTCCGCCTCCGCCCACCGCCGCCGCCGCCTTGCAAAAATAGGAGGGAAAGGGGGAGAGCAGAGGCAGCCGGTGGGAGATGGGGGAGGAGAGAGGCGCGGCGACGAAGAAGGTGAGGCGATGAGGGACGGATACTGCCTCGTCGACAAGGACCTGCTGGTGTCGGTCACCTCCAACGAGGAGCTCCCCCACATGCGCGATGAGTATGACCACCTCAGGGCGGCACGGCTGTCCACAAGCTTCTGGCTGCTCGTCTCCACCGTCATTGCCATCACCGGCGTCTAGTAGAGGTACCGCATGCAGGAGCTCGCCGCCCACCCCGCGGCCCCATCCCCCTTCGCCTCGCTGTCCCCATCCTCGTCGCCACGCCTCTCCCCTCCCCCATCTCTCGTCGGCTGCCTCCCCTCTCCCTCTTTCCCTCCTCCCGTCACGAGACGACGGTGGTGGCGGTGGAGGAGCCTCTTGAGGCGACGGAGTTTGCCGGCCGTGTCTCCCCTCTCTGCCATTGCTGAGGAGGAGAAGAGAAGAAGAAAAGAGAAGAGAGGAAATAAGAAAAGAGAAGTAAGATGAGACTTACATGTGGGTCCCACAATTTTTTTATTTTTTATTTTCTGACTAGGATGCCACATCAGCTAAATAGAGATCCATACTGCTATGAGACCAAAATTGTATGGTTTTGTATAGTTTAGACGTGAAGATTTTGATTTTAGGATTTAGGGATGTTATACAAACTCGACGTAAAGTTGAGGGAGGGCTGGTGAACTTATTCCATATGTAAAACGGGCAGGAATACTGATGTTGTCATGTTAGGCAACAAGTGGGCCCAACGCTGAATTGATTTAGTGAAAACAATGGGTGAATAGGATGCAAATGGATGAAAACAATGGGCCGTAAGGGCCCGAACGAACAGTGAGGCTGTGAGCCCAGTACCATAGGATGCAAATGGGTTAATGGGCTGAATTTTACTCGTGGGAGACTCGTCAGCCAATGAAAGTACACTTTGCCCCAGCCTAACGTTATTGTACAGATTTCAACCTCTGAAAAGGCCGGATTTTTGGAGTGCAAAATTTGATTGAAATTCCTATCCAATTTAAACCGCACTGAAAATTCCTATTAAAAGCAGAAATAGTGTAGCACAATTATGGGCACTAGAATTTAAGCCGTGGCACCACCACACCATTGTGATTTGCCGCTTTGTCAATTAGATTTGCTCGATACATGGACTTATAGAATTTTGGGATGCGTTGCGTTTACATTCCTCTGAAATATATAGGCAAATAATATCTAGGACAGAACTACACTCATAAGTATAAAGATTTTAGTCTATCCAATCCAAACTATACTTTGTTGCTTTAGCTTTGTCCTAAGTCCATATAATCTCTACTTTCAACATCGATTTTTAGAAATTCGTGTAGTTCAATAACTTGTACTCCATCCATTTCAAAATGTTTGACACCGTTGACTTTTTAAGTACATGTTTGACCATTCGTCTTATTCAAAAAATTTAAGTAATTATTTATTCTTTTCATATCATTTGATTCATTGTTAAATATACTTTCATGTACACATATAGTTTTACATATTTCACAATTTTTTTTAATAAGACGAACGGTCAAATATGTACTAAAAAGTTAACGGTGTCAAACATTTTAAAACGGAGGGAGTATATGAGAGTACTTCTCATGGTGAATCAAAAATATAAATCTTATAGTGTTAAACTATATGAATTTCTATAAATTGATAGTCAAAGATAAAAAATATTTGATTTAAGATAAACAAATAATTTGAAATGGAGGCAGGGATTACTGTCTATATTAGGGATGAAAGATGATTTTTTTTTCTAGAGTAATGCACGGGTATTAATAAAGTGAGTGAAATTAAATGAGGAATGATTGTGTTTGTTTATGAAGAGAAGGTATATAGAGAAATTAATGGGACCGATGGTTGGTTGAAGTGATGGAATAGGTGGAGAAATTGTGATATTTTGAACAAATTTTGAATGGTAGAAATTTCTTTATCCTGAGACTGAGGGAGTAAATTATAGAAATAACTTGTTCACTGATAATATGCAATACTGATATATTTTTTTAATTGGCCATGCATGCATACCAACAGATGAGAAGAGGAAGGCCACACAAATTAAGTACATATATACATCATTATATTATATTAAAGAGTAAATAAAGCTAAGTTAATACATATATTATGTTTGCAGAAATATAAAGAACTTTTGTTGGAAATAAACCTAGTTTTTTTTTGTAGATTCCAATTAGATAGTTTGATGTGTATATATTTTTCCATTTAATTTGTCGAACACATGTCTTGATTGTCTAATCAAACTAGGAATATAGACCACCAATATTGCCAAACAAGTGGCATAATATTAGTAGAGCAAAGAAGATTTTCTCCCAAAACACAAATTTAATTTCTAGAGAACAATATTATATTTGTCTAGGAACATGTACATAACATTTTTCTTTCGTTACTAAAGGAGGCTAAATTGATCGTCTGCATAAAATCTACTTTGTACTTAATGTTAACATAAATTTAGCAAGTAAATTAACAATCCATCCACAACTCCAGGAAATCAATAATAGAATATATATAAAGAGCACTTTGCGATTTGTAGTGTAAGGGTCGAAAATCAAATTAATGCACGCAGGTGTGAGATAAATGCATGGAAATTAACTCGATCATATCAATTTCTCCCTCTTTTTCTCTAAGTAATATATCAAGCTAATTAACATCTCTCCAACATTGAAATCAACTCTCAAGGGGACGATGCATCGAGATAATAATATACATCGATGGAGAGAAATCAACCACATTAGTACACACTGATATGATCCCTGGACAACCTAATTAACAACAATTCATGGAGCTGGGAATCAATCTCCCAATTAATCAATGAAGCAAATCCCGCATGCTTACAAGAGCATACATAAATCTTGCATCTTCTTCTCCACCTTCATCCATCCGATTAATCAGATCGATTTTGAAACCTACCGACAAAAATCAAGCAAGAAGAATACAAATTAAATCAACTCTGAAGTCTGAACTCAACAAAAGGAGATCATGAACATGTCACTACAACTTTAATTGAAATGAAGAGATTAATTAATTAATCAATTCACCAACTAACCAGGTAGTAGCACTCCCCCATCTGCAAGCTGTTGATGAGCACGCCGTGCTCGTCCACCGGAAGGACCTCGCCGGAGGAGTGCACCAGCATGGCGTCGCGGCCAAACGTGCCGGCCATGTCCAGCGCTCCGCCGCTCGGCACATCGTATGCGACGCCATTGATGAACACTTGGATCGTCCCTGCGAAACATATATATGTTTTACATATATCTTCATTAGTAATTAATCCATGAGTAAATTAAAATGCACATATATATAGCACATATGATCATCATCTTCAATGGCTAGCTTGCTTGAAATCCATGGTGAGCTGTGATGTTTTTTAGTACATGCAATGCACATTTGGTAGCTGCTCACTGACCGGTTGGTTGGTAGCTGAGCTGGGTGGCGTCGCTGTCCGCGTAGCTGCTGTAATGGTGGTCGCCGCCGCCGTGGCGAGCCATGAGGCCCATCTGCCGGGAGATGGCGAAGAGGTCGTCGTCGCCGCCGCCGTCGACCTCGTCCGCCAAGAAGTGGCCGGACGCCGCCACCGCTGGCGCCGCGGTCGTCGAAGTGACCACGCCGCCGCCGCCACCGCCGTGCATGAGGAAAGGAGAAGACGAAGGTTGGTGGTGGTGGTGATAGTAATCTCCTCCTCCTCCGGCTCCGGCGGCGGCGGCGGCGGAGGGGAGCTGATGGAGGGCGGCGCCGCAGGCTTGCTGGAGCTGGCGGGCGCGGCGGCGGGAGCGGGAGCGGCGGTTCTGGAACCAGTAGAAGACGTTGGCGTCGCGGACGGCGCCGAAGCGCTCGAGGAGGCGGCGGATGCGCGCCGTCTCGTCCTTGGCCGGGTTCACCATGCCGCTGTTGAAGATGGACTCCAGTATCAGGATCTGCTCCGGCTTCGGCGCCCACCGCGACCTCGCCGGCTCGCCGCCGCCGCTGCCACCATTATGGCTGGCCGGAGCTTGCATCATCAGCTGCTGCTGCTGCTCACCTCGCCGGCTCATGACCTCCCAGCTTGCAGTCGCAGTGCGGTCCATGGATGGATCGGCTAATTGGGTAGTAGCTAATTAATTAGGTTGGAAAGGTCAAAGGTGAAGGGGAGGATGAACAGTTTGATTTGTTGTGGAAGAAAGAGAGAAATTAAAGGATGTGAAAGGATCAATGGAAGGAGAGGGTGACACACATGCGCCCAAGGGAGCAGCAATTCAAGCTTAATGGAGGCTTACTGCAGCGGGTACCATCTACTTATAGGGCTCCGTGTGTTGTGCTTTCTAGAGAGAGAAGGGCTCTGTCTTTTAGTGTTGGGTAGATCAGGTGTGATTAATTGGGTGATTAAGCAGCAAGGAGTGATTAATTATAAAAAAAGCAGTTAGTAAGGACAGTCTGAGTGCAAACATCAAAGGTAGAAACTCTTTTCTTACCACTGTTAAACACAACAAAAGACTCTAACAACTAATTAATGCATCGAAATAAACATTTTTATTATCTTTATGTAGCTAAGTTTACTTTTATAAATGCTAAGAGTTGATGTTAAGCTATTGTCATTCATAGCAACGATGCTTTTCTTCCTTTTCCCATCTCTCTTCCATATCATAACGACGTTAGGTCATCATAGAAAAGTGTAGTTAGTGTGAGATGTGTGTTTTAGAGAGTAGCCATACATACCGTTATAGGGAAAATAAGAAGAGAAGCAATAAATTGGTGTGCATGCCTTATATTTTGAAACAAGACAAGAAAAAATGTGTGATTTATAAAAGAAGTGGGGGAGGGGGGGGGGGGAGAGAGAGAGTATATATTTCTATTAACTGTAAAATAGTGCATTCACGTGTATGTTGCTATATATATTGTCGAACCTTAACAATTCAAAGTATTGGTATATGCCAAAGAGATGATGGAGCACTATCAGACTTGACAATTTTCCTATGGGTGATCCGATAATATATTTCCAAGGCCTTCCTCGGAGATCACGGGCTGACTTGGTTTAGTACTACTCTACTAAAATATTGGTAATACCAAAACCTTGATACTAAATTTTTAATGTGTTACCTCTAATTACCAATTTATTGGCAGGGCCGGCTCAAGGGCCTAGGCTGGTTGTGTGATCACCTAGGGCTCAGGTCTACCGGGGGCCATCAATAACCAATCCAGCCAGCAGGATGTCATCGTCCGTCCTCATGTGCGACTCCCACGCATCTCATCGTAATTAGGGTTTAGGATAAGGCTGGTCTTGTTATCTTCTAATTTTCCATTTGTTTAGTCCAAAAAATAAGCTAGGATTTTGTTTTATTCTTATTGTTTAATCCACTTCACAAGTTTTGGTGTATATCATGTTATAGTAATGTTTACTTGTGTCACTTTAGATGATATGTAGTTTATAAAGTATATGTTTGAAAATATATAGTTTATAATAAGGACCTATAACACCGAATTCGCGTAGGGCCCTCAAAAATATAGAACCGACCTTGTTTATTGACTTCAAATTAACCTACACATTTACTATTCAAACTAAAAAAAATTGTCACAACACGTTTTGACATCAATCCAAAACTTCCCTACAGGTGCCAGAGACATGTTTATGCCAATCCAGAATACCATGGTCGTCAGTCTATCATTGCTACACACACACACACACCACTTTTCGTCCGTCCTGGATACATGTACAGCAACATTCTGAGTAGTTTATTTGGTCAAATAAATACGCCTTACCGTGAACATGGGAGCACTTTAGCACCCTTTCTGCTGCAGGGATCAATCAAAAGGATTTCCATCTGCTCCTAGCAAAGGAAGCACAGATGTGTGCTAGCCACCCTACCTGGTGTGCAAGCCGGGAGCATGTATGCAGCTGAGCTGGGAGAGGAAGGAACACAATAACAGCTGGGGGCCATGAAAATTTGCAGCTAGCAGCAAGCTAGCTAGATCATCAGCTTGGCCACACTTTGGGGATCAGATTGTTGGGGGTGCATGCACTTTGGGTCTCTCTTTTGTTGGGACATGTGGGGCTCTTCATGTGAAAGACAAGGACAAATTTAATGGTTCTTAGTCTCTGGTCTTAATTCCTTGGATTGAATTGATTATTAAATATTGTTGCATGTGCGGGTTTGGAGGTATGTGGATTTTTTTTATGCCTGTGTAGAAGATGATGCTTCCTTTGATATAGTTTGATTTATATGCTTTTCAAACAACTTTAGGATTTAAAATATATGTAGCTAGCTAGATAGGTTCTCATAAGTTTAAAATAATTTTGGTACGTAGGTGGTAGGTTCTATACTGACCACTGATGACTCAGAGGGTTATGTTAGCGTGCACATTTTAATTAATTAGCGACTAACTATGTATTTTAGTCCACAAGTCGGTGTGTCGTCTTGTACTATACATGCATGCATGCTTCCGCTCTAACTTATCCCACTTTATTTTTTTTCCCTTTATACTTTGCATACGTGCATGTTCCCTGGTTCATGAAGTTGCCTCCACTAGAATGTGGTTTTTTGGGGAGGTTTTATGGTCGTCTGTATATATATGTACTTGCTCCGTCTTAAAAGACCTTATTTTTAAGTCAGTTATATATATATTGGTATAAATATGAAAAGATTAATATGATTTTCATAAATACTGTGGTTTCTCCTAGGCTTACTACATGCATGCTCATTAGACTTTTGACATATTCAAGTTATAATTAATAATGTTTACACTTGAATGATTGGAGGTCAGAAGCAGTCTAACTAAAGGAGAGAAACAATGATAATAAGGGCATGTATAACCGTGTGTAATAGCGGTCTCTATTTGTTGCCATGCAAGTAAATTTGATGATGTGGAAGAGAGAGAAAGAGGAGAGGAAAGAAAAGCATGGTTGCTATGCATGACAATAGCTCAGAGTCGACTCTTAACATTTATTAAAGGAAATTTTGTTGCATGAGGGTGGAGAAAAGAAAAGAAAGGTAGTAAAAAAATATTTTGGTGCATTAATGATTATTAAGAGTTCTTGTTGTCTCAACTATTGTAGCAGTATAATCTCTAAATAATATGTATTATAACTAAGAGACCATATCGAACTCTATTTTTGTACATGCCCTAAAAATGGGGCCAGTGAAAACCATGCCTAAAAATGTGGTCTTTGTGGAACAAATTCTTCAGTCTAAAAATAAGATCTTAGGTATGAAGGGAAAGCATGTGTTAGTGGTAGTCCAGGGTCATCGACTGTCTTTAATAAAAAAGATAACAATGTATAAAACCGCTTCTGATTATTTTTAATTAACATTAATTCGATGTTTGGCCCTGTGCCTAATGGTGCATATATCAAAAATATGCATGACATGAGCAATATTACTGGGAAAATATATAAATATATTCTCTATGGTATTTAAATAGATGTGTGGTTGTTGATTTTTTAACACACATTTAGCTATTCATCTTATTTTAAAACAATACATAATTATTATGTATGTTGTTGTGATTTAGTATATCATTAACAACATCACTTATACTTTTGATACTTAAAGAAACATAATAAGACAAATAATGATAAGATGAATAGTTAAATATATATTTAAAAGTTAACAGATGAATTATTAAAAATTAGGAGTATTATTTAAGCAATGAACAAAGCAATGGAGAGTATATATATACTCCAACCATATGCCGTGGGCATCAATATATGCTTACTCCAACCCTGGTGCCCAATATAATCTGTGTACTATAGCTGTATCTATCAATCTATCTATATCTATATGTAATGTACGTATATGCAACACTCATGATCCTCCTTTGCAGAGTACTCCCTCCATACTCGTAATATAAAGAAAGTCGTTTAGAATAATGTTTAAGTTAAACCTTGAGAATATATATCATGAATAACTCTCAAGTTGTTGAGTTTGAAAATATAAAAAAATATATTAATAGATTTGGATTGAAAAATACTTTCATAAAAGTATACATATAGTACTTTTCAATAAATATTTTTTATAGAAACCAGAAGTCAAATTTATGTTTTGGAGACCATACGTGTCGCTGTCCAAAACGACTTCCTTTACGAGTACGGAGGGAGTAATATTCTTCATCTCTTTCGTCGCTTTACCAACAGAGAGCCAGCCAGTACTAATTAATTTGGTACAGTTACATAGCAGGCATTCCAAGCATGTACATTATCAAACATCTGCAGGTGCATGCATGCATATATATGTATCATTATCATCATTATATATCTACCATTTTTGGAATCATGCGATGCATTGCTAGCTGCTTGATTCGGCGTGCAACTGGACAACCGCTTGTAAACACTGTTTCACTGTAAACACAAGCATGCATGCCTGCAAGCACTATGTATATAGTACACCTATAGAGTCAGACATTCAGGCTAGCTTACATCACGCACACGTATATTTTGTAGCCTGCAGGGGTTTCTTCATCATACAAGTACTATACATACTATTGCCTGATCCGTCCCATTCTATAACCTTCATTTCTTTTTTGTCACAAATAACACTTCATTTCGAAAAATACCCCTCATCTCCACAACCCATCCACCTTCCATCTACCCGGATAATTAGCGAAGCACAATCTTTTTTTTTCTTTTTACCTATCTCCTTTGCTACTAAACTTTAGCGCCGGTTGGGAATGGGAAATATATGCCGGTTCCTAACCGGCACTAAACTATGGGCACCGATGAGGGTGACAGATGAGTGTCAATCGCTGAACCGACACAAATGAGGTTGCATGGTTTAAAATAAAAATAGTTAGCTCAACTTGATTCGAGCCTATGCTTTGAAACAAAAAGATATATATTCTTTTGACAAATTGTACATCATCGATCAGAAAGCAATCACATGCCATCTTCATTTCGAAACAAACATTCATCGAGCAATCCAATAGATTTTCAACACGTTGAACGGAGAAATCGAGGCCACCCTACAGACAATCGCATGGTAGAGAGAGAGAGAGTGGCGGAGACAGTGTGGGGGCGGGGGGTCTTGAGATCCCACTACCCCCTAATGAACCATTAGAGCCCCCATAATACCCCCTAAAATTCTAATCCTCAGGGGGCTAAGATAGACTTTATCTGAGATTTTTAGAAGGCCCAAAAGGCTGAGAATGCCGAAAAAATCTCCACAACCCCACCCAACCCTAATCTCCTGCCTCCAGCCGCAGAGAGAGGATGCTCTTCCTTCTGCGTTCGCGTGTGGCAGTGGCAGATGAGCGTGACGCCGAAGGCTTCCGGTTCCA